AGTAGTCTCCCCACAGCAGTAGGTAGAGAATTATCTCATTCATTTAACAATGACAAAGGCAAAGGAGTCCTTTGTATGAATAGAACACACTTTGTTTAGCGGGTCCCCTTGGTCAATTGGGTTTTCTTCCTGCTACTGAGGAGGCTCCTTCCATTAAACTTGTGGTCTGAAGGAAACAGACCAGACCTAACTTCCTCTCTTAAGGAAATAAGAGCCATTTCTGTCACTGGTTTGCTGTCTACTACAGGATAAAAGCAAACTTCTCACTGTGGCCTACTGAGGCCCCTAGAGATCTGTCCTCTGTTCTCTCTGGGCACTGTCTGCCAGAGACCATTGGCCCTGTGTTTTTGGTGACCTTGGGCCTCAAGCCCCTTCCCTCTGAGTCCTTTCCCTTTCCTTTCCCTGTACCCAGGATGGCCCAAGGATGGCCCTAGAGAGCGATGGTAGTTCCACAGAATACTTCCAAAGTACTGAACTAAATTAAAGAATATTTGGGACAGAAAATACAGATTATTAATAATAATCTGTCAATTGACAATTAATTAATAATAGTGTCTAAAACCACAGGCTTTGAGTCCAACAGAAGAGGGCTCTTTTCTGCCTCTGCCTGTCACCTTAGGGCACCCGCTCCATCTCACTGAGCCTCAATTCCCTCATGTTGAGTAGTGTTAATCCTAGGGGTGTCAGGAGGAGGTTTTTTTCTTTAATTTCAGGAGATTATGAGAGTACAACCACTTAGGTTATATTTTATGTCATTGCCTCTCCCTAGGAGGGGTTAGAGGCATGCCCTTCCTCCCATAATGGTTACCGTGTCCTATAGTTGTGAGTTTAACCCCCTCATCCCTCAGCCATGGAGAATATTACTGCCATGGGGGCACCATAGTGTTAATCAGTCAGTACCAATTTGATGGCGAGTACAAGTGGAACCTATTCTTCCGATTTTGTGTTACCTCACTTCAGATAATGGGCTCAAGATCAATCCATGAAAATGTAAGTGGGGCTAGATCATTCTTATAATTATGAGTAATATTCCATTGTATACATATACCAAATTTTAATAATCTACTCATGAATTGACAGGCACTTACGCTGTTTCCCCATCCTTGCAATAGTGAATTGTGGTGCCATGAACATTGGGTGCAGATGTCTTTATTATAGAATGTGTTTTGCTGTTTTGGGTAGATGCCTAATAGTGCTAGGCAGTACGTCAAATGGTCTTTCTATTTTTACTTCTTTGAGGTATCTCCAAATTCTTTTCTACAGAGGTTGTACTAATTTGCATTCCCACCAACAGTTTAAGAGTGTTCCTGTGTCTTCACATCCTCGCCAGCATTTGTTTAGGGATTTTTTGATAGAGGCCAATCTCACTGGGCTTAGGTGATATCTCATTGTGGTTTTGATTTGCATTTCTCTAATGATTAGAGATGTTGAGCATTTTTTTTTAATATGTTTGCTGGCCGTTATTCTGTCTTCTTTAGAAGAATTTCTGTTCATTTCCATTGTCCAATTATTGATGGGGTTGTTTGATTTTTCCTGGCTGATTTTTTAAAGTTCTGGATAGATTCTTGTTATCAGCCTTTTATCGGATGTGTAGAGAGCAAATATTTTCTCAGGAGGAGTTATTGACTAGGTGCCAGGTACATTTGCTTGCACATAGTAAGCCCTCAAAGATTGGGATGATCATTAATATTATGTTGGGCTTTAATTTTGGGCTTGTGAAGCAATGGACAAAGAACTTGGTCCCTATGGATATTTGAAATAACATGAATTAAAGATAATTTGCAAATGAGAAAAGACTTCCATTTTTCTCCCAGATAGTCGAATACTGGGAAATTTTGCCTTTGGCTATCGAAAAATAATGTAGATGTTTTTATGCTTAATTAAAAGGGGGGGAATGGACAGAATGATTTTCTTATAGAAAAATGTGCTGTTATAGATGATTTAAAACCAATGTGTTTTCTACACTTGGTACTTTATATTTAAACAATTAGGAAGAACTCTTAGATAAACTGGATAAGTGCTAGTTACTAACACGAAACAGGAATCTGGGTGTTCTATATTGTTGCCCTTAATATCACTCTCCAAGAATGTTTTCCTGATGCAAGTAAAAGTTGTGATTTGTTACTACAAGGGACGGAAACACAATATCCCTCATTTCCAGATTAAATTCCCGATTTTAAAATATGGTTGGGGATGCAAATAGAAAACTAAACTATTCTAATTGTGATATCAGTTTTGAGTTATTTGGGTGGGAATGGGAGGTTATCATGGTGAGGACTTGTGCAAAACATCAAGGACTGACATTTTCTAATTCAGTCCTCACTACATCTCCACATGGTAGGAAATTTTGTCCCAGTCTTACAGATGAGAAAACTGTGGCTTGGGAAGAGGAAGTAGCTGGAACAGAATCACAGAGTTGGTGGTGGGACAGGATTTTGAATGGGGTTGGCAATCAGGTGGAGGTTGAAATTGAGGATGATGTTGGGATGGGGATGGGTTGTGGTTGGGACAGGATTGTGGTTGGAGTTGTGGATGGATCGGATACAGGTAAAAGGATGGAGTTGGGAATGGGTTGGGCTGAGTTTGAGAGTGATAGGGATGGGGTTGGAGATTGGGAAGAAGATGAGTTTGGAAGGTAGAGGTTGGAAACAGAGGTTGAGTTGGAGGTTGAAGTTCATAGGTGATAGAGTGGGTTGAATTTGAAACAAGTGCTGAGAATAATTAGGTGTGGGGTTAAGTTGGGTATTGAAGTTTGTGAAGAGATTGGGATGGTAATGGGAATGGGTTGGAAATTGGAAAGAAGATAAACTAGGAATGGGGTCAGAGTGGGGATGGACATTGGGGAAAGGGATGTGCATGAGTTTGACATTTGTTGGTGATGGAGATAGGGTTGGACTGGAGGTTGATATTTTTTATTGGGATGGGTTAGAGATTTGGAAGGAAATAGGATTAGGATTTGGGATGAAGGTGAGGATGGGGATGGGATTGGAGTGTGGTGGGGATGGGGTTGGGTTTCATGATTGCCACTGGGCGAAGTTCCCAAGGAAAGGATCTTAGTGCTGTGCCTGTCAGGATGCTGCTGCTGCTGCTGAAGAAATCCAGCATGGGCAGGTTGGAGCTGGTAAAGAAGATGGTGCTCATTAGGGCTACGCAGAGGCAGAGGCTGGCTATGCTGGAGATGAGGAAGGCCCAGGCCAGGTCCCGCAAGTCTGGGGAAGGAAGAGAATCAGGAACACCAAGATTGGTCCTCAGGCTCTGGGCATGGGGAAGAGGGTCACCAGGTAGTCTGGGAGTATTCTTAAACCCTCTCCCTTGCAAATTATTTATTTTAATTTTAAGGAAATTTAAATTGGGTTCTAAAGAAGGGATATTGAAGCTGATCTCTCAGCACTGAGGATATATCTCTGGGTGGGTGAGGACAGGTTCTTGGGCAGTGAGAAGTGAGGTGAAACAGTAAGGATCATTCTAAAGCTTTGAGGATCATCCTAGAGCTACAAGGACTATCTCAGGGGAGTGAAGACCATCCTGACGCAGTGAGGACTATCCTGGGGCTGTAAAGATTATCCTAGGGCTGAGAGGAACATCCCAGGCTGTGGGAACCATCTTGGGCAGTGAAACCATCCTGGGGCCATCTCTTCCTTTGTCTCTATGACTTTATTGATTACTTCTTGGCATCGGGAAGTTCTTCTCCCTCAAGATTTTTGATGAACATTCAATTATGTTAAAAACATTTTTTTGGCCGGGTGCTGTGGCTCACGCCTGTAATCCTAGCTCTTGGGAGGCCGAGGCGGGCGGATTGCTCAAGGTCAGGAGTTCAAAACCAGCCTGAGCAAGAGCGAGACCCCGTCTCTACTATAAATAGAAAGAAATTAATTGGCCAACTGATATATATATAAAAAATTAGCCGGGCATGGTGGCGCATGCCTGTAGTCCCAGCTACTCGGGAGGCTGAGGCAGAAGGATCACTCAAGCCCAGGAGTTTGAGGTTGCTGTGAGCTAGGCTGACGCCACGGCACTCACTCTAGCCTGGACAACAAAGCGAGACTCTGTCTCAAAAAAAAAAAACAAACAAACAAAAAAAAAACATTTTTTTTTGGCCAGACACAGTGGCTCATGTGTATAATCCTAACACTTTGGGAGGGCGAGATGAGCGCATTGCTTGAAGGCAGGAATTCAAGGCCAGCCCGAGGAACATAGTGAGACCCCATCTCTACAAAACATAGAAAAATTAGCTGGGCCTTGTGGCACATGCCTGTAGTCTCAGTTACTTGGGAGACTGAGGCAGGAGGATTGCTTGAGTCTAGGAGTTTGAGGTTGTGGTGAGCTATGATAACACCACTGCACTCTAGCCTGGGCAACAGAGTGATACGCTGTCTCAAAAAAACTCATTACTCTTTTAGGGCTTTATTGTGATTTTGGTGGGTGGTATGCAGGGAACATTGACTTCTGTGCTCCTTGCTAACCTAAGGAAGGGACCTGAATTAGGAATCTGTAGGTCACAAGTGACAATCTAATTTGAACTAGCTAAAGTGAAGGAATTTATAGGGTTACCTGAGGGAAAAATGGTGGTGGTAGGAATGCTTTCAGGCATGACTGGATTCAGAGGTCCAAGTGGTAGCTTTAGATACTGCTGTTTCTTGGCTACTTGAGTTGGTTTCATTCTCAAGGCTCTCTGTAGTGGCAAGTCAGGATTCAGTTAGGAAAACAAATCATTATAGATTCTTCAGAAGGAAGATTCTATATTCTTCACAGGGAATTGGTTTCATGGGTATAGGGGACTGACATTATATTTTCCTGGGTAAGAATTAAATTTAGTAATATACACGCTCTGCCCATAGCGTTTAAAAGTAATGTGCTCTGGACAAGGTCCCTGTGATAAACAAGGCCGTTGCCTAGAGGCATAACAAAGGACCTGAGTTGTAAGTAAGGAAGAGCTGCCCAGCCCCATGGCAATGGGGGTCTGGAGGCCCCATGATAAACACATTGTTCCTGTGATTACTGCTTGAGCCCCATAAGATGGCTGGTTAGTCAATGATGGGTAAGATCCCTCAAGGGAAGGGCGACCTAAGCCATGCACAGCTGCCGGGGATCAGTTTAAGATCTTAGGGGATCACCCTAAGAGAAACTGGGGATGAGAAATGCCCCCTGTGGCTGCCTTGCCCATCCTTGCTAATGTTGGTCTGTGATCTATGCCTGGAAACCTTGAGTCAGGGGACCTCTGTATTTTTAAGGCTACGTGTTCCGGAATTTATGGCCATTCCTGAAATGCCTGGGTGGTTATGTATAAGGAACTAACTTTAATTTTTTAGAGTATAAAAATAAAACTGACCCGGTGTTTTATTACTCGAGTCAACTGTCCGTATGTATGTCCGTGTTTTTCTTTGTGTTCTGTGTTTTTGTTTTGTGTTCTGTGTTCATCCTCCATCCCGTAAATGTGCCGCGACAAGTGGTGCAGCAAGCAGCGTCTGCGTCATTTCGGGGTGGAGGACCAGGCAGGTACCCCTTTGGCTATTGGTAGGTGGCATCCAATAGTGGACTCTCAGGAAAAAATGGGAACCAAGAGGGCACCCCTTTGGCTAATGGTCACCCAACAGGAGACTCTTGGGAAAAATGGGAAATATCCCCTCCGGGGCAGTGTGGGAATACAGAAAGTTAATTCAGGGTTGTTAAACTCTGTTGGGGTGAAAGTAAAAGAAGGAACCCTAAAGCGGTTGTTTGCTTTAGTGCAGAAACATTGTCATTGGTTTCAGTATCAGTCTCAGGTACAGTTAGATCTTCATAGCTGGCAACAAGTTGTTAAGGCAGAAGAGAGTTAGCCCCCCTGCTGACGTTCCTGCCTGAGCCAAGATAAAAGAGCTCATTCTATCGAAAATGCAGGAGTGAATCTCTATGTTTAAAAAGAGTAAGATGGCTATAGGGGCTGGTCTGCTACCGCCTCCTCCTCTTGCCGCCTATCTTGCCCAACCTACTGCGCCTTCTCCCAAGCACGTTTTTACTTTCCCTTTAAGCATTCAGGGGCCTGATGATGATTCCCCTCTTCCTCCTGATTTTGATGATAACCCGCCTTTAATGCCACGGTTGGGCACTACTTTCACTTTCCCACAGCATCAGGTGTTTCCTATTGTTAGAAAAGCTTTTGGCCTGGGGGTAGATGCTAACCATCCGCCAGGAGGCATTAATATTAGATATCAGGGCCTCCCATACAAAGTTTTAAAAGAAATTAAGCAAGCAATTCAATCATACGGTCCCCAATCTCCTTTTGTTACTGGTCTTATTGATGCCTTTTCAAGTCAAAATACTCTTATTCCTTTAGATTGGAAACAGGAATAACTACCTTGGAGAGCCCCCAGTGGCTACAACTTCGTAGTTGGTGGGTGGAGGGAGCTCGTATCCAGGCTCATCTTTTAATGCTCAACAAAATCCTCCAGGGCCGAAGGAGGACGAGCTTACAGGCTCGGGGCAGTATAAAATCTTAGAAGCCCAAGCGGGACTTGGAGATGCAGCCTTAGCTCAGATCAAATCTATTTTTATCCAAGCCTGGAAAAAGATTGAAACTTCTGGAACGGTGGGGCTGTCTTGTACCAAAACTATGCAAGGCCCCACTGAGCCATATATTGATTTTTTATCCCATCTTAAAGAGGCAGTCCAGAGAAGCATTAATTCCACAGAGGCTGCTACTATTATCTTACAGTCTTTGGCTGTGGAAAACGATAATCCTGATTGTCAAAAAATTTTACGCCCGTTAAAAGTTAGCGGCGCTACTTTGGATGAGTTTGTCCGAGCTTGTGCCAGTGTGGGAGGCGCTGCTTACCATGCCACCTTAATAGCTGGAGCCATTCAAAAGGGGAATAATTATCCTACATGTTTTAATTGTGGTAAAATGGGACATATTAGAAAAGAATGCAAACGAGGAGGGCTAAATGCCCAGCCCGTAAAACCTTTGCCTTCAAAGCCTTGTGGCTGGTGTGGTAAAATAGGTCACTGGACTAATGAATGTAGATCAAAATTTGATAAAGATAGAAATCCCCTTTCAGATCCCCAGTCGGGAGACTTCTTGAGGGGCCCTCAACCTCAGGGCCCCCAAAACAATATGTGGCCTCACTTTTAGCAGTAACCAGAGAGCGATAGGACAACAGATGAACAACCCCTTCTTCAGAGGAGCAATGCTTAAAAATTACCCAGTTATACACTGTCACCAAAGGCAGTTCAGCGGCCGAACTCTCTGTGGCTAGAACGTATACGTTAACGCCAGCAGGGGGCGTTCATAAGCTGTCTACTCAAGTTTTTGGTCCCATGCCTCAGGGAAAAATTGGGTTGATAATTGGAAAAAGTAATAACATCCTAAAAGGTCTTTTTATACACTTGGGAGTCATTGATGCTAATTATACTGGAGAAATTCAAGTTATGGCTTCAGTTTCTCAGACTACAAAAATTTTTGTAGGAACTGGCATAGCTCAGATTTTACTTCTGCCTTATACCCTGTTTCCCACTAGAGATGCCGATCATAAAGGGGGTTTTGTCAGTACAGGCACAAAGGTGTTTGGGGAAACTTTAATTCAAGATTCTCGACTGGTTCTTAATCTCACTGTTGCAGACCGCTCTTTTGAAGGGTTGGTAGACACTGTGGCCGATGTCTACATTATTTATCTTGCTCAGTGGCCCCCTGAATGGCCCAAGAGTGCCATGCCCACTGTACTTTCTGGACTGGGCCAGGCTCAACGTGTTTATCGCAGTGATGATACTTTCATGTGCTTAGGACCAGAAGGTCAAAAAGCTTCTTTACAATTTTATATTACCGATATTGCAGTAAATTTGTGGGGACGGGATCTTTTACATCAATTTGGAGCTTTTGTGACTATTCCTTGCTTACCTGCCAACGTTAAACATTGATGTTAAAAATGGGCTATGATCCCATACATTTTATTTTATTTTTATTTTTATTTTTTGGAGACAGAGTCTCACTTTGTTGCCCAGGCTAGAGTGAGTGCCATGGCATCAGCCTAGCTCACAGCAACCTCAAACTCCTGGGCTCAAGTGATCCTCCTGCCTCAGCCTCCCGAGTCGCTGGGACTACAGGCATGTGCCACCATGCATGGCTAATTTTTTTTTTTTCTATATATATTAGTTGGCCAATTAATTTCTTTCTATTTATAGTAGAGACGGGGTCTGGCTTTTGCTCAGGCTGGTTTCAAACTCCTGACCTTGAGCAATCTGCCCACCTCGGCCTCCCAGGGTGCTAGGGTTACAGGCGTGAGCCACCGCACCTGGCCTGATCCCATACATTTTTAAAAGGCTTCTGAGGAGACATCCTCTCCTTTAAACTAGTTGCCACTGCTCATCAAACCCCTCAAGCTATGTCATTGCATTGGCTTACCGATCAGCCTGTATGGATAGAGCAAGTGGCCTTTAACAAAAAAAAAAAACTCGAGGCTTTAAAAATTTTAGTTGTTAAACAGCTTAGAGCTGGACATATAGAGCCTTCCACATCGCCTTCAGGTGCTGTGTGAGGCTGTGTTTAGCGATCTCCAAGATCAACTTAAATCCTACAATTTTGTCATTGCTCCTAAAAAAATTCAAACTGAGTTGCCTAGTGATTATTTAGGATATTGTTTATCTGAATAACAGTTAAGACCTCAAAAACAGTTAAGACCTTACAAATTAGGAGAGATCATTTAAAAACACTCAATGACTTTCAAAAACTCCTTGGAGAGATAAATTGGCTATGACCTTCATTAGGTATACCTACTTATGCTTTGCAACATTTGTTTGCTACGTTAGAAGGGAGCTCAGTTCTCAATAGTCCTCGCTTTCTTACCCCACAGGTTGAGGAGGAGCTGCAACTTGTGGAACAACGACTTAGCTCTGGATTTCTTACCTTTCTTCAACCTTCCTCTTCGATTATTCTCTATCTCTTTCATACCTATCATTCTCCTACTGGATGCCTGGGCCAAGACGCTGGCATCCTCGAGTGGCTTTTTTTTACCTAATAATCAAAATAAGAAACTCCTTAGTTACTTAGATAAACTTGCTTATTTAATCACCAGGGGCCAGCGCCAAAGTCACCAATTGTCCAGATGAGATCCTGATAAAATATAGTTACAAATTTGAATTCTAATGACATTCAAACTAATCTTGAACTTTCTACCGCCTGGCAGGTAGCCTGTGCTGACTATGTTGGAACATTTGATAACCACTATCCTCCTCACAAATTGTATTCTTTTTAATGTATACATTCTGTCCTCCCTCTAACAATTATAGCTTATCAACCTCTATCTGCTCCTACTTTTTTTACTGATGCTTCCAGCACTCGCAAAACCGGTTATTGGAGTTCCCAGGTGCAAAAGGTTATTATCTCTCCTTTTCCATCAGTCCAGCAAAGTGAACTTTATGCTATTTGTCTGGTGCTACAAGACCTTCCCAATGAGCCTCTCAATATGCCGTTTATGTTACCTGCCAATTACCTACTGCCTCGTTACCACTTAATGCCTCTACAACATTACAGCAGCTGTTTTCTCACTTACAGACCCTTCTTCTCAAACGACATTTTCCTATTTATTTGGTGCACATTCATTCACATTCCGGACTGCCCGGTCCCTTATCACAAGGCAGTACCAATATTGACTCTTTACTTGTAGCTTCGGTTCAAGATGCCTTGGCGGAGCATGCCTTCCATCATACTAATGCCAAAAGCCTTCAACAACGATTTTCTCTCTCTAGAAAACAGGCTTGTGCTATTGTCCGCTTGTGTTCTGCCTGTGCCCTTCTCATTCTTCCCTCTCTCCCCCCTGGATGCAACCCATGAGGGTTGCATAGTAATCATATTTGGCAGATGGACGTTACCCATGTCACCTCGTTTGGAAAACTTTGCTATGTTCATCATACAATTGACACTTATTTTCAGTAGGCTACGGCTCATAGCTCTAAAAAGGCCAATGCAGTAATTACTCATCTTTATTCCTATTTTGCTGTCATGGGACTTCTGGTGACATTAAAAACAGATAATGCTCCAGCCTATACTTCTCAAAAACTTGCTAACTTTTTAACACTATATTCCATTCAACATATTACTGGAATTCCTTTTAACAGCCAAGGGCAAGCCATCATTGAGTGTGCTAATCGTACTCTCAACCTTCAATTACAAAAACAGAAAGGGTGAGTCAAGGAATCTCCTCACCGACATTTTCTCTGTGCCCTCTATACCCTTAATTTTTAAATTTTTTTGCAGGACCTACATGCTTCTTCCCCTTCTTTACAAAAGGCCTGTGATCCCGTGTATGTTGCCACTCCTACTGGAGGATGGATTGAGGGAGAAGTTCTATAATAGAGTCGGGGATATGCTTATGTCTCCATAGGACAAGGTTGTGAGTGGGTCCCTGTATGTTGGCTTAAAAGATGATATCCACACCAAAAAAAAAAACAAAACACACAAGATGGGACTGAGGTGCCCCAAACAAAAGAAGAGAAAGCGGGCAGTAACGCTGGCAGTGTGGCTGCCCTTTAACCTACCTGCCTTTCTACTAATTTTATGCTCCTCTCTGGTTGATCAGGTTATTTCTGCTGATGCTCAGCATGTATATTGGGCTTATGTTACCTAACCTCCCCTTTTTAAAGCGGTATCTTGGGGGGAGCCGTCTATACTAATGATTCCAAATGGCTGCCTCCTCCTTATCAATATCAATCAGTGCATCCCGGGGATGAAGGGAGACTAGTTTCTAATTACTTATGCTCAAGGGTATCTCATTTGTTTTGGAGCAGGAGAGCATTGTCTGGTACCCTCTACTCAAGCTTGGGGTCTGCAATATAACACCTCTACTTTCGCAGCCCTCACTATACTATTATCTATGAAGGGTTTTAAAGGGATGCCTTCTAACGCAACTGAAAGACCTCCATCTCTGCCCCTTTGTTCTATGCTTCACATTGAACCTCCTGTAACTCATTTTGAGTGGAGCGTATGTAGAGGTAAAGTTCTAAAAGAAGTACACAATAATCCTAAGATTGTTGACTGGAGCCCCTATGTCGACTTTAAGAAAAAGTTTTCTGGTCACTCCTTGCGCTGGCATGTTTATGAAGACACTATCGAGGCCATTGCTAATGAGATGGTTATCTGGCATGATAAAGGCCTTTCCCCTCCACAGTCTCACTTACACGGGGGGTGGGGGGTGGGGTAAAAACAAGGGCACATCTAAAAACTCTTTGGCTACAGGAGGAAACCTTAAAATCTGGGTGGGAAATATGTCCTCAGATGAGAAGGGAGGCGTAAAAGTACACCTCCAGCATTGCCATTCTAAAACTTTACTGGCATGCATTCCTTATCCTTATCTTTTACTCATGGAAACTGTTTATTGGAATCAGTGTACAGGAAAGTTGACTTACCCTGGTAATTGTGCCCTATTTACTTTTGTAAACTTCACTTCATGGGCTACTTCTAATAAATCCTTACATAGTAAATTATGGCAACATCAGCAGAAAATTGATACAGAAAAGGCAAAGTTATTCAGTTGCAGAGTACAGTTCAGTGGCTGGGAGACTAAATTCAGGTTTTTGACAACTCAGTCTTTTCTCTGTTCTGATTGGAATTCTTCCCGTTTTTGTGTCACTCCTATTCCTTTCAATAGTAGTCAACATTGGATGTCATTATGAAAATTGTTAAACAGAGGCCAAAACCTAACAGGTGAACTCCAAAAATTAGAACAAGAAATCACCTCTGTTTTTCAAGACAATCTGCCAAATTTTAGTAATGATGAGTTCTTTACTGGCCTGGCCAGTGGATTGTCGCAGGCCTACCCTTTGGCTTCTTTAAAAACTATGCTTAGTAGTATTGGGAGTAATTTGGGTGTTCTCCTCCTTGGATTATATTTTGTGCTCTTAATCTACAGATGCTGGAAAAAAAGGCAAGCAACTCAGCCACAGCGAAAACAAAACGTCATGGCTGTGTTCCAGTGTGTTCGCCTTCAAAATTAAATAAGATGGGGGAGATGTAGGGGACTGACATTATATTTTCCTGGTTTAATAATGAAATTTAGTAACATACGCTCTGCCCAGAGCATTTAAAAGTAACGTGCTCCGGACAAGATTCCTGTGATAAACACGGCTGTTGCCTAGAGGCATAACAAAGGACATGAGCTGCAAGTAGGCAAGAGCTGCCCAGTCCCATGGCATTGCGGGTCTGGAGGCCACACAATAAACACATTGTTCCTGTGATTGCTGCTTGAGCCCCATAAGATGACTGGTGAGTCAATGACGGAAAGACCCCTCAAGGGAGGGGAAGCCTAAGCCATGCACAGCTGCAGGGATCAGCCTAAGATCTTAGGAGATCACGCTAAGAGAAACTGGGGATGAGAAATGCCCCCTGTGCCTGCCTTGCCCATCCTTAGTAATGTCAGTCCATGATCTATGCCTGGTGCCTAAAGCAACCACCTGGAAACCGTGAGTCAGAGGACCTCTGTATCCTTAAGGCTACGTGTTCCGGAATTTATGGCCATTGCTGAAATGCCTGGGTGATTACGTATAAGGAACAAACTTTAATTTTTTAGAGTATAAAAATAAAACTGACCCGGTGTATTATTACTCGAGTCAACCGTCCGTATGTATGTCCTCATTTTTCTTTGTGTTCTGTGTTTTTGTTTTGTGTTCTGTGTTCATCCTCCGTCCTGTAAATGGGCCACAACAATGGATAACAGAAGAGCTGAGAAGTCAAGTAGGGAATACTGAGGAAAACCAGATGTTATAAGCTACAGGAAGCTGCTACTCCCCTCAGCCAGAAGGACAAACGGTGGAGGTGGTATTACTAGAAGCCAGAAACGGCAGCCATCTGGAAGGCATACAACCGTGATTGGGTTTACTTAGCAGTGGCTAGAATCAGAGAAGAGATTCAACTACTACCGAAGACACCACCAGTGGCTTACATAGAGAGGGGGACAAATACCCTGGCTTGTCCTCTGTTTCCAGAGCCAGTCTTCTACCAGTTCTCATCAGGCAAACACACTGGTAAACCTGTAGGCAAAGGAGGCTGAGAAATATAGTCCTTGCAATACAGAACAGGGCAAGGTGGGGAATGATTTGGGGGCAGATGGACAAATAACTGGTAAATCTGTTAACACCTTGGCAGAATTGCTAACGATTTCCAAATCTGGTAGAAAAACAGACGTCAAGAGTTCTTGCAAAAGTCCTGTGTGGCTTGAGGCACTTGGGCAGCCTGCACTAATTCTGTGGCCCAAACAATGCAGTGTGCTGATTGGCTTATAGCTAGGGCTGAGAGTGTGGCATGGGTAGGAGGAGGAAATGCATGGAGGGAAGCTGTAAACGTGCACTCCTCCTGACCAAAGCGCAGGGTGGGCTGGTCTCTGGGATGTTGAAAGTCAGGGACTTGAGCGTCATCTCATGGCTCTTTCTCTCTTTCTCTTGTCTGCTTTTCCTTCTTAGTTTTATTCTCAGTTCTATCCCCATGAGGCTGGGTCCAAGGCTCAGGCAGCTCCAGGCTTATAAATCCCCTTTCCTAGAGGAGACAGGGCTCTTCCCTGACAGCTTTGATTAGAAAAGGTCCCAGGGAAGACCTTGGTTGGTTAGCTTTGGTCATGTCCCCATCTTTGGACCTATTACAGGGGCAGAAGCACAAAGGACAGTGATTGGCTCAGCCTGAGTCGTATGAATACCTCTGTGGCCCAGAGTGCAGGATATGTCATGAGAAGCCTTGAACCAGGATTATTTGAGTGGAGTGTAGGGTATCCCTTGAGAGACGGAAGGCTGCTGTATGGGCACACGAAATTCTCCATTCAGTGCCTTGATGTCTGGCTGAGTCCCTTGTCCCGGACCTCTGCTTCTTGACTCTCCAATGAGCAGAAAGAACCAAGGTTTAGGGCAAGACTGGGGTTTCCCCAAATCCTGAGAGTGCTATTGCTGTTCTGTATATATGATGAAACTTTCACTTTCTTGTCAGGTGTTAGAGAGATATGCAGTTTTCCAGAAACAAAGCAGATGAGAGCTTAGCTCATTTGTCTAAAACAGCCTTGTGCTGTTCAAAGTTGACTAAGTAGAAAAAGGGCTAAAAGGAGGAGATGTAATTTTCAGAGCTGAAGCATTCTTGTCATACTGGAAATGTGAATTGGCTAAATATCAGTTGTAAACTGGAACTGAGCTTTTAGGCTCATTGATTTTAGAGTCTTTGATTTGGAAGTTTTTCTTGTGTGTACATCTGTGTGTTTGCTTGTTGAGGGGCTGTAGGGTATGAACGGGGGTGATATTGGGATGTCTGGGCATGAGAATGGGGTCACTAAGGAACCTTGGGGTATGACTAGGAGAGACTGTAGCAGATGTAGGGTGTCTTTGGAGATGACTGGGGGTGACAAGTGTCGGGTAACTTGAGGGTGCTATTGGGGTTGTCTGGGAGTGATACTATGGGTGTTAATGTGAGTTGGTGTGGAATGTCTTTTGGGAGTACGATAGGGTTGCTTTGGGGGTGTCTGTGTGGGTAACTCTAGAAATGATTGAAATGGTTCTGTGGGATGACCTTGAGGATGTGGATGACTTGGGGGGGTCATCTGTGGGGTGATCTTGGGGGTATGTGGGGTTGATTATGAGAGTGTCGGACTGTGAAACTGAGGTAAATGGGGGTGATTTGGGTTCTGAGTAGGATGACATTGAGTTGACTTTCAGGGTACCTGGAGGTGACTTTGTGAGTGAGAGTAGAGTTATTTTGGGGTTACTAGGAGGTGACTTTGGTGATGTGAATGGCGGTGTTTTGAGGATGTCTGCAGCCAGACTTTGGGGATGTTTGTTGGGCTGCTCATGGGTGTCAGTGGGAATGACTTTGGAGGGTGACCTTGAGGAGTGTCTGGGAGTGATCCTGGGACACTTGTCCTCCGTCCTCCCAGTTCTTATCCATATGAGTGAAGGCTTCATGTTACTGGCCCTGGGGCTGTGCCTCCTCCTCCTCCCTGCCATGGGTCTCTCCTTCCGCCCCTTCTTCCGCCGCCTGTACAAGGTTGACTTTGTCTTCAGTTCCCTTAGCATCGGCATTGGTAAGTGTTGGCTCGGGTGGGGTGGGGGTGTTCCTAACCCCAGCATCTCTTTCTGGCTTTGAGGAACGGTATCTAGGCTTTAGCCCTGCTATCTGCTAGGTCTCTGTCTTGGACTGTCTCTTGGGATCTCTGCCTGACTCTCTGTGTTTACCTGAGTTCTACCCTGTCTTTCTCAGTTGGGGTATGTGTGTGTGTGTGTGTGGGGAGGGTATCTCTCCCGCTGTTTCCCTCTCTTCCCCCACACCCTACTTTCTCCAAGTATCTTTCTTTGTGTCACGTGTGTGTGTTTCTCTCTGCTTGTCATGGTGGGTAGAAGATGTCTGTCTCCGTCTCTCTTCTCTTGCCGGGGTCCCAGAGACACTGTCCAGCCTCTTGTCCGTCTCTGGCCCCAACCCAGGGCTCCTGCTTTTCCTCAGCCTGACGCTCTTTGCAGTCAACTGTGAGACGGTGCATCCCAGACCACGAATATCCTACCAGGTGGCCTTCTACATGTGCTGGTGTGCCAGTGCCCTGATGCTGTGGGCCGGTGAGGGCGAGGCGTCGGCAGGAAGGGGCGGGACCTCAGCAGGTCAGGGGCGGATGTCGGGAGGGGGAGAAGGAGAGGCGGGACCTTGGGCTGGATGTGGGCGGACCTGGAGGGGAAGCCTGGAGGAATGGGCGATGGGGCGGGGCCTAGAGTGGGGCTGGACTCCAAAGACCCAGCTAGCTCTCTCCCCCAGGAGCCCTGTGCTACTTAAACCAAGTGGGCATGTGGAGCAGGAGGATAACCTTTGTGGAGCGGCGGCGGATGAGCCAGCGCCGGTGGGCCATACATCATTTTGTCCAGAGGTGCGCATCCAATCACCGGAACTCAGACATCAACTCTGAGCACATCCTGCACCTGCCCAATTCCCACAGCATCCAGGAGAGCCCCCAAGTCTCTGCCAGGAATAGCACCTGAGCTTCTCAAGACACTGACCGGTACCGTGGCCAGATGCTGGGCCCAGCCCCTTCAGTGTGGCCACAGCCCCGAGATTACACCTCCTTGAGACCCCACTCCCTGAGACCAGGCCATGTCCTCCAAGGACAGGTGACAAACCCCGACCATGGCTGTAGGGCCCACCCTTTGTGGTTCTGTGTCTGTCCACTGGGGCCTCACAGTGCCCCATTCCGGAAGTCCTATACCCCTCTCCCGATCTGTCCCTCTGAGTGTTCAGTTGAGCCCTGCGGTATGGCTGCTTTGTGTGGCCCCACCCCAGGGTGCCGAGCCCTCACAGGCCATGCCCTGAACCCACTGTCTGTCCTTTCAGCCAGGGTTGTCTCCATCAGAACCCCTCTTCCCGGACTTCCAGCCCCGCCCTACATCCACTCTTGCTCCCAGGTAGACATGTCACCCTCAGCATTTGGTGTAGACAGGACCCTGAAGGCGTGGCTTGGGGCTTGCGATAACATCCCTTGGCCCCTGTCCTGGCTTCCTCATCACAATAAAGAGTGGGGCTATCCAATATCTCCATATCCCATCTTCCACTGCCCCCATCTCCCCCACAAGGCAGGGTCAGGCCCAGTGTGAGCAAAGGGGTCTGGTATCCCTGACTTGCCTTTTGGGATCTCAGCCTTTTCTTGGATGTTTATGTAGACCTGTTAGGGCCCCTTCCTTTGTCCTACTTGCTCATGTCTTCAGGCGTCTGGGCACAAGGTTGGTACAGCTGAGGCAGCTCTAACCTCAGCCAAGTGGGTCCCAAGTGTTTAGGAGTCTGGAATCTGGAAGGCGAGATTATGGCAGAACTTGAGGCGCATTTGATGCACATCTGTTTTTACTTATGGTAGGCGACTGGCTGGGCATTCACAAGTTGCTTTCTATGGTGTTCCTGATCCACCCAATGTACCTGTGCAGTTTCAGGTAGAGTGAAGGCATCTTGGAGTTGACACACGGGACTTGTTCCCTTAATACGAGACCTTGGAGCATACCATTGCAGATGATCGGGCCCCCCGAGTCACCCTAGGAGCACAAGGGGAGGAGAGAGAGTGTGAGGAGAGACAGCAGATCCCGGGTTCTGCCTGGGAAGCCCCAGCTCTCAAGACTTAGGGCCTCCAGGACCCATTCCCAGGAGAAGGTAAGCAGGGATTCCAATAGAAAGGGGACAGTGGGCTTGGCGCAGTGGCTCTCGCCTGTAATCCTAACACTCTGGGAGGCTGAGGCGGGAGTATCTCTTGAGGTCAGGAGTTTGAGACCAGCCTCAGGAAGATTGAGACTCTGTCTCTACTAATAATAGAAAGAAATTGGCTGGGCACTAAAAATGGAAAAAATGAGGCAGGTATGGTGGCCTCTGTCTATAATCCCAGCTACTTGGGAGGCTGAGGCAGGAGGATTGCTTGCTCCCAGGAGTTTGAGGTTACTGTGAGCCAGGCTGACACTATTGCATGCTAGCCCAGGCAACAGAGCAAGACTCTGTCTCAAAAGAAGGGGAAGGTGGCTTGGGTCCTGGCCAATTAGGAAAGAACTTCAGGTCCAGCTCTTGTGCAGGGCAGGGTTCAGGAGGGCGGTCTTGGCAGGCAGGTCAGTGGCTTGAGGAGCAGAGCCGGATCATTTGTAGGACCTCCTTGCTGCCCCTCCCCAGCCCCCAGCAGGGTTCATCGCAGGGTCCACCTCTCCAGGAAGTTTTCTGTGACTAGATGGTAAATGTGTGTTGAATGCAGGAACCGGTGAACTACAATGCAAGGGGATGAGCTGCAGGTGGGAACTGGGTGGTGGGGGTGGAAAGGGGAGGGGGTTGGGAGGAATGGAGGCGCTGGGGACTCTAAGGTGGGTGGCAGATGCCTGGTTAGCTCTCAGGACCCAGTTCAGAAGTTAAGTCCCCTCCCCCAGGCCTTCAAGACCCTGAGGGGAAGGGCTGGCTTACCAAGCAGATGTCTCTTTCACCATCCAAGTGCCCAGCACACAGCATGAACTCTGTCACCTTCTGGGGGTGGGCTTTGTCACACATATCATTTGGCATGGTTTCAATGGCCACACACTGGAGTTCCTTTGGGTATGCAACTACAAAATAGGGAGAAAAGGGGCTGAGGCCAGACCCCACCTGGACCCTTCTCCCTGGACCCAGGAGTCCCTGTGCCCCCTCCAGTCTCTACCATCCACCCAGGCATACTCAGGTTCTTTGGTTTGATGCTGCCCCAGCCAGAGACAAAACACATGCTCGGCACTTCGAGTTCGGGTTCTTCCTTGTAAGGCAGTGTCACAACTTGCACAGCGTCGGAGATCTCAACGGGCTCTGTCAGGCGGAGCAGCATGATGTCGTGGCTGTAGTCCTCGTCTTCCTGGCGGGTGAAGTTCTTCAAGAGGCTCAGGTTGAATTGTGGGTGTGGGAAGCTCTTACTGACATGGACAAACTGGGGTGTGTATTCTTCTTCAGGCAAGCCTTGTTGACCCACCCAGACCTGGTATTTGCTGGGGAAAGAGGGGGATGGAGGGATGAGCAGAGGGGAGGGGGAAAGGGTCTTGGATCAGGAGAGTAGGGGTAGGGTCTCGAAAGAGAAACAGAAGAACTGTGGGGTGGTGGTAACAGAGGAGAAAGACAGACAGTGAGTGAGAAAAGAAAGAAATGTGAGTGAAAAAGGCAGATGCAGAGACACAAACAGTGAAAATTTATAGAGGACATAGGGAATGAGAAAGGCAGACGGGGAACAGTGAGAAATAACAGAAGGAGCAAAAAAGAGCTTGAGAAAGAGACAAGGCAGAGGCATGGAGAAACACACAGGGAAGAGGAAGAAGAGAGCAGGACAGGGAAGGAGTGAGGAACAGCCAATGAGATCCGAGGCAGGAAGTCAGAGGGAGAGTGAGGGCCAGAGGCAGAGAGGAAGCCAGAGGTCTGGGGTATGAAAGAGAAAAAGGGGGGCCTTGGCAGGGGAGGAGAGGCCTGAGAGCAGCTCAGCTGTAGCTGAGGCTGTGCTGTCTCCCTAGAGGATCTGGCCCAGCGCCCAAGGTTGGGTCCCCCTTTCCCTGTCAGCACCCTCCCCCTCTCCATCCCTCCTTTCCTCAGATGTCCCACCCAGTTCCAGCTGAAACCAACCCTTCCCTGTGTCTCCCCAGAGTGGACTGATGTCCTGAGGGGGGCTGGGCAGAGTGAGAGGTGCCCCCTCATGCACACAGGTTGGGGCTAAAGCCCTTCCTTCTCTCTGACGTCCCCTTAGGCCCATCGTGGGTGTGTTCAGTAGTGATGGCGGAGGGCGTGGGACAGAGACCCAGGGAGAGAGATGGACAGAGAGATGGAGGGTGAGACCCATGGTGACAGAGATGACCACAAAGTGACCCAGAGAGGGTCAGGGACAGGGGAGATGCAGACACATGGAGGCAGAGCAGGAGATAGAGACCAAAACACAGTCATGGTCAGACACACAACCAGAGCCAGAAAAGGCCAGACACAGAGACCCAGAGAGAGACCCATGTAGCCATGGGAGGGTGGTCCAGCCCCACCTCTGCCTCTCCATGTCCCTGGACCAGAACCTTCCCTCTGTCCCTCAGTCCCCTAGCCTCGCACTCAGGTTGTCCAAGAGGAATGGCACTGGCTGATCAATCTTGAGGGAGTACAGGTGCCCTCCTCCCCAGACCCCAGGCCCCGACTCACTCTCTCTTGCAGTGGGCGGCTGTGAGCACCCACTGGGTGTCCACCAGGACACCACCACACAGGAAGGTTTTGTGATGGTACACAGCCACCTGATAGGGTTGGGAATAGAGCACACACTCCCCGACTCCCACCAGCCGAGACTCGATGGCCGCTGTAGCACCTGCAGAGGGGCACTGGGTTAGGGAGGGTGGAGTTGGCAGAAGGGGCAGGGGGACTGGGCTGGGAGGGAGCTGTGCCCTTGGAAGGGTGTGGGGGCAAAGGAACAAGGCTGGGGGCCTGGGGACATGGCAAGGGGTGCTGAGAAGGTTCCAGAACTCTGGAACTATTCCTGGGTTGTTAGTTGGTCCTGGGTGGGGAGAGTTTGTGCTCTGAGCACAGAGCAGACCCCAGGGATCTGGGCAGGAGACACAAGACAGTGTCTGGAGCACACATCAGGTCATTTGGGGTGACTTGGGTTCTTGGGCTGGGGATGATGGGAGGTGGTGGGTTAGGAGTGTAGAAAGGGACTCCAGAAAGGAAGGATAAAGGCCCCAAAGGAGAGGATCCAATGCTGGGAGAGAAAAGGTATGGGTTAAAGGGCTCTCAGGCTGGGCAAACAGTTGTGCCTGGGTTGAGCTTTTGGGGTTCAGGAAAAGATGCAGCTTTAGGGAACCAGGTCTGAGAGGTCAAGAAGCGCATCTGGGTTGGGGAGTTGGGGCCATGATTTGGGGTGTTTAGATTGGGACTGTGAGGGATCAGCTAGGCTGGACAAGTCAGATTTTGGGATTTCCAGGTTAAAGGATAAAAGAAAGGGTTATTTAAAAAGCAAAAAAAAAAAAAAAAAAAAAAAAAAAAAAAAAGAAAGGGTTAGGGTTTAGCCTGGGGGTATGCTTCCGTGAGGTTTTGGGGTGCTTCCTATAGCCCAATAGTGGCAATCCAAGAGGTAGAGGCCCTGAGAACAGGTTTGGGGTGAGGACTAGGACGGGGCTCAGGAAGAGGGAGGGGATGAGTGATAGTCACCATGGGATAGGGTGTGGGACAGGCTCCTTGTTTCTCATGGGGTGGGTTTCATGGTGTGATAGTATTAGAGGGATTTGGGTTCTCTTGGTGGCAGTCCCAGGATAAGAATGGGAAGTGTTCAAAACAGGGGCCAAGCAGCTGTGGGAAGAGAGTGGAGGAGCCTCTAATGTGAGGTTTTAGAATCACATATTGCTATACTTGGGGCAGGTGGGGGCAGGCTGGCTAGCTGGGAGGGTGTTCCGGATCTTGCAGGTGTGGCCCCTGAAAACCAGGTTTGTGCAGGAGGGATTCAGGTGGGGAAGGGCTGGACCTGGGGAGGGATGGGAATTCTGCAAGGAAAGGAGTGTGTGGTTGGGAGGACTTGGGTGTGTTTCCCTCGAGAGCTGGGGTGGCCGGATGGGGTTCTGTGTCAGAAGAGGAAGGGGCATTGTAGATTCCCCGGGCTAGATGTGGACCCAATCTGGTGTCACACAGTTTGGGAGCAGGGCTGGCCTGGGAATTTTGGGGAAACTTGAGACAGATGTCAGGGTCTAAGAGAGACAATTGAGAGCTACAGCGATTGGAATAAGTCACTGAGGTGGGAATTTTGTTAAACTCCAGAGCCAGACACGGCCCACAGAGAACTGAGGTAGGAGGGCTTCAGGTCCGAAGGTCCAGTGGGTAGGGTCCTCCCATAGAGATGGGAAGAGGATGGCAGCAAGCCTGCCCCTTTGTGAAAGCAGCAGGGGCAGGAGCTGACTAGGGAAGAGGAGAAAGTCCTGAGGGTTCCTGGGAGGGGGTGAGGACCTAGTGTGGGAATGCAGACTATGAGAGGTGGGATTTTGGGATGGGGCTGCAAGAGACAAGAAAGAGCTTGGCACCCTGGTCTGGGATGGACCACAGGCTG